ATTGGTTGCAATTGCATGACGCCATGGCGGGTACAGTCTGTTGTGGGTTCGCGAAACGTCCCGCTTACAAGCACTGGGTTTCTTCTGGTTCCTTACAACTGATTGAAGCCCGTCGGTCTACTCTGGGTGACCGTGAGGTTGACCACAAACGAAGGATGTTACGTAATGAAATCGGGCGAAGCTTGCGTAAGGACAGAGAAACCTGGTGGTCGGAGTGTGCTAATGAGCTGGAAGCAGCAACTGCATCTGGTAATTACCGGGAGCTCTTCCAACTCATCCGAGACACTGGCAGCAAGAAGTCTGGTGTGAGCGAAACAATCTGAGAGGATGACGGAACGCCAATCACTAACATCCACCGACGTATTGGACGATGGGCAGAATTCTTCGAAGGGCAGTCCAACTGGCCTGCTGCTCCGGCAACATCGGTCAGACTGTCCTGTCCTCCATGGCCGGTGACGACTGATCCACCAAATGAGGCGGAAGTCCGCAAGGAACTCCAACTCTTGAAACGCTACAAATCACCGGGCCCAGACGACTTACCTCCGATTCTTTTTAAAGATGTTGGTGACTTTCTGATTAAGGAGCCGACGACGTTGTTTACAAAGGTCTGGGAGCTAGAGAGTGTTCCAACTTCATGGAATGAGTCGATAGTTGTCCATATCTTTAAAAAGGGTTCACGTCGTTGCTGTAACAACTATCGGGGGATAAGTCTACTTCCGATTGCGTCCAAGCTATTGGCTTCCGTCATACTTCGTAGGTTGTTCAGAACCCGAGAAGGATTGACTTGCGAGGAGCAGGCTGGGTTTCGTTCTGGTCGAGGATGTATTGATCATATCTTCACCCTCCGCCAAGTGTTAGAACACCGTCATACTTATCAAAGGCCAACAATCGTAGTGTTTCTTGATATCAGGGCTGCCTTCGATTCGCTGGATAGGACTGTTCTCTGGGAGTGTCTATTGAAGAAGGGTGTGCCTGAGAAGTTTATTAACATTCTAAAAGCCCTATACACAAACACCTCAGGCAGAGTGAGGGCATACGACCACCTTTCTCCATTATTCCATTCGAGCAGTGGGATTAGACAGGGTTGCCCAATCTCACCATTCCTCTTCAACTTTGCCATCGATGACATTCTGGAAACAGCTCTGATGGATGTAAGTAATGGCGGTGTGGATCTGTTGCCTGGAAAAGACTTCTCGACCTTGAGTGTGCGGATGATATTGTCTTACTGTGTGAGAATGCCCAAGCTATGCAATCCGCACTTTATCAGTTGGCAATCAGTGTCCGTAGGTATGGTATGTGCTTTGCACCTTCGCAGTGCAAAGTACTTCTACAAGACTGGCAGGATTCTAATCCTGTACTCACTCTGGATGGTGAGCAGATTGAAGTAGTCGAGAAGTTCGTGTATCTAGGTAGCTGCATAAGTGCTGGTGGTGGTGTGAGTGATGAGATCAATGAACGTATAGTGAAAGCCAGAGTGGTTTATGCCAATCTGGGCCATCTTTGGCGCCTTCCTGATGATAGTCTGGCTGTAAAAGGTCGGATCTACAACGCGACGGTGAGAACAGTTTTGCTCTATGCTTGTGAAACCTGGCCTCTTCGAGTTGATGATGTTAGACGACTCTCTGTGTTCGATCATCGTTGTTTCAGAAGGATTGCTGACATTCAGTGGCAACACCATGTTAGTAATGCAGAGGTTCGGTACGTGTGTTTGGGCACAGAGACGATGATTCCATTGGTGCCACCATCTTGAAACACCGACTTCGGTGGCTTGGACATGTTCTATGAATGTCATCCCATAGATTTCCTCGTCGTGCATTTTCTGCCGACTCTGGGACTGGTTGGAAAAAGCGGAGAGGTGGTCAGTATATGACATGGTGTCGTGGTATGAAAGAAAGCTGCAAAGGGCTAGCTTCTGTTGGTCCTTCACGACTCCCTGGTTGGGGTCCGAAAGACGGTGTAACGCAGTGGCTAGAGACGTTATCAGATATGGCTCAGAATAGAAGCCAGTGGCGATCCTGTTGTAACCTTCTTTTACTTTCTTCATAAAAAGTGTTTGTATCTTCCTTAACTGAAAGATCTCTTCTGATTGTACCTTTCCGTTTTCCCCATCATTGTTCTCTCTCTCTCTCTTTTTTATTTATCTATAATTCCCCACGTTCATTACTTTTTTTTCTCTTTTCTCCTCTTCAAATTATCATTGTGTTGTGTGGCGCATATATATTTGGTGCCCCCCTGTACCACTATTTATGTGTTCAAATAAATAAATAAATAAATAAGTCCTTGAGATTGTGCAAGTATATCAACTAAATTGATCGGCGAATATATTTTCACAAAAATATAACTGCATACATTGAAAAACTTAACTAGTTGAAATAAGGTCAGTTGAAAAAAAGAATACCAAATATTAATCTTATACTTAGCAGAGAACCTGCTAACAACAAATATAAAATACAAAAAACATCAAATGACGATTTTTCAAGGAATATCGAGACAGATAGAGATTATCAGTGTAATATTTCGTAATAATGCACAAGTTACCACACTTCAATAGACAAACCAAGAAGAATAAAAGTGCAGGATTGTTCACTTAACCGTTTCACTAAACAAAAAACAATGATTTACAGATATCTAAAACAAGTAAGTGTCATTTATCTCCAGTTACCATGTTTTACAACCAACAAATATTATAGGACGAAAAACTAGGCTATCTATTTGTCAAAAGATATGCAGCTTCAATCATATATAACAAGAAAACTGAACAGATCCTGTGTATATGTGCCGAGATTTCGTCAGTCATTAATCCATCTAAGTGAGTAAGTCTTTCTACATAAGTGAAGTGGTCAATACATTAAACTAAATTATTTTTTATAATAACATTAGATGAAAAAAAAAGTTTGGTATAAATTAACATAGGATTTAGAAAGTGTGAAACACATTTCAAGCAATTTCATATTATCATTCAATGTGTTCAGAGAAGAATGTGAATTTGCTACCATTTCCACTCACTGGAAGTATACTGTCTAAGTACTTCAGGCTCACAACAGAACCTCTAGGACATCATATCAGGTTATTATGCTATAGGAGAAATTATTAGAATTATGAAATAAAAATTCGTTTGTGTATTTAAGTTAAAAGTTAGTCGATTAGCTGAATATTTATTCTTTGAAAAGCAATAGGATAATTATTATTGCATCCCTATTTAGATTTAATCTCCTCCTAACCCCACCAACACATCAGGTAATAGACTAGGTTCAAATAAGTAAATGTTAATGATAGTTATCATTAATATTTGACCATTTAATTAACTTTGTGATTATGTTCAGTATAGAAAAAAAATAGGGGGAATTTAAGTAATTCAGCATTGATCAGTATACATAATAAATTTATTATCTATCCGAAAGAAGGAAGGCGGAAATAGACAATGTTTGTTTGCATGGAGAAGAAGAAATGAGGATGATTAACAAATACAAATGTGAATATGTCCATTGTCAATAGTTGTAGATGAATACACCCTTTACTCTGTTTTAACTCCGACAGATCATAATTAACTTTATAGCGCGGATATATAAATATATATATATATATATATATATATATATATATATATATCCATTGATGCGGCATGCTGTGAAAAAATGAGAGAAATAAGAGCCTTTTGCTTGGTGAATAACAACAATATTATCAGTAACGTCATTAATACTACCAAAGATAATAATAATAATAATAATAATAATAATAATAATAATAATAATAGTATTAGTCATAAAGCGTTAATTCATGGCCAGTGTTGATAGTAACTAAAAAGAACAACTACAAATCAATGTCAACCAGCATAATGTCTAATTATATGATGATTTGTGTGGCTTACATATAAATATATGTTATCATGTATCAGACAATATATATAACGAATTAAGGTGGTGACCATGATTGAAAAGTAACAAAACTTAAACAATAAATAACTAAATAAATTTATAGAAAACCTGTTGAGTTCTGCATATATTGCTGTCAAAATATGAGATATAAACTAAGAGGTACTCTTGACGAATAAGGTCGGTGTCAATGTTAACTATGTAACAATTTAAGAATGTCCAAGTGAAATGATTAGAAGTGTTAAAACAAAGAGAGATTTCTTAGTTGTGTCGAATGACTATTTGCTTAAGACCTGTAGAAAAATGGTTACGTTAGCTTAGCAGTAAATGGATTCATTCACCTTTATCACTGGATCGTAGATTCAAACAGTCTCATAGATTTTCGATCGTACAGCTAGGTAATATCATATTATAGTAGTACACGAGTCTGCACTTGGTATATGTACTAAGTTACATTGTAGGCAGGTAGAGTTTGACGGGTAAGTGTTAAAGACAAAATGAACAGGCAATTAGAAACCTTGGACATAAAACTGATTACACTTAGAAATTTGCGCTGATTCACTTTCTAATTTAATAAACATTTAATTAATGATTACCCAGTTCATTTCCTATTTAAGTCAACAGATGATAGCTAGATAGCTTTATGCTGTAGTTGGTTCAGTTAACCGTATTAGTAATTTAATTAACATCGTTAATTATTTGAACGCAATCATGCGATATAGCCTTGACAATCCTATTCTGATACTCTAGAGTTAGAAAGATTTGGAAGAACATTCACCTTAATTCATAAAATTTTAAAACTGTTGGTAGAGACCTTTATAAGCAATAGTATCAAATCTCTGTTACTGAAAAGCTGACAAATAACCCATTGGTTTGTGAAGTATTTACCCAACACAATTTAATTTTATTTGCTTTCAAAGTACATAAAGAAAGCAATGAATTTTGAGATGCGTAATACAACTGAAGAACTGGATTTCATATCATTTCAAATGAGAAACAATTTGCAATTATTTGATGGTAAAAAACACATTGGAAGTGCATGCCTATACAAAGAATCATAGATTGTCGTAGTCATAAAAAGAGAAACGAAACCAAACATTAAAAAAATAATTCAAAAATAAAACTAACCGATTCTCTCAAGCTGGGAGGCAGTGACGGTTGTGAAGAATGGATTTCAGCAGCTGTTGTACGTCCAATAGTGCAATTAGGAAGCTTTTCTTTGCTGTGTCCATTTTGTGGACTAGACAAGAAACGTCTTCCATTGCTATTATTATTATTATTTTGTATATTCTCAACAAGTCTTGATTCACCATAAGTTCCATTTGGAAACTATGTGCAAAAAAGGAGAACTTTAGTGCTGATAAAAATAACACGAAATCAAATAATAACAATTCCAATCATTATCAATACTGTGCAATAATCTTACTGAGTTTTGAAAACATGTATAATATGTGTATACATAATAGAATTATTTATGGTTCATACGGATTAATGTGTTTAGCTTCGAGTCAAACTTTTGTGTGTAAGAGATAGAGATAGAGAGAGAAGACGGTTACCGGGACTATCCAGCTACGCAAGTTGAAGTAAGTTGAGAAAGAATTAGAACCTGCTGGCCGTAATGGTCGAAATTCAATAGCAATAACTACCAAGTCATTGTTTGGTTTGTTTAAGAAACGAAGTAATGAAAACGATATTCAACAATGGACAAATCAATACTTAAAAAATGACTTAAGTTATATTTTATTTTTCGTAGCTTACCTTTGATTTGACCATCGTTTAAAAAACTATTAACGAAGGTGGATTAGTATGTTTTTTCTTTATATTAAGCACAACTAGACAAAAAGATGGGGAGCTATTCAAGTATTAAATACAAAAGCGTAACCATAATAAGTTGGAGAAATTTCATGAAGAGTATTTTGATTTACAAGTTGTATTTGTCACAGATTAATCCTAGTCAGGGTTCTACTGAAAACCAGGGGGCATCGGATAGTCGTTTCGTTCTTGTACAAGACTCATTAGTAGTGACTTGCCGTGAACACACCAGGAAGAAGTTCAGATAAACTGATAGACGAGATTGTGAGCTACGACTGAGTAGGATACCTGTACACTTAAACGACTGATATTAGATGGGATAGATGTAATAAGGAAGAATATTTAAATTAAGAAATAAAATCAATTATTGAGGGATTCATGAAGAGCTGTTGACTTAGGATAGAATCCACGTCATATTAGAAAGTCGGAGACGGAGAATTTAAATATAAACCTAGTTTTACTATCCACCTTTTTTTACTTTTGTATGCTTTCTTTTCAATTTTTCCATTATACGTTATGCTTTCGTACATGATTTTTCTCCTAGTTATGTTGCAGATGAACACAGTGAATTCTAGTACCATCTAATTAATTTAATATTTTAATAAATTACCACTAAATAAGGCAATAATTAAGCACAAAACAATTCATGTTTCGGACAACAGACTCAGTAATCGCTAGCAAATAACAATTAAATGATTAGCTCTTGAATTTACCAACATATGATATATATGTACAAATCGAAAGCGCTGATCATGTAGAAGAGATAGCATGGTATCCAGTCCGAGGTATAACTTTAATCCTTATCTGTAGTGTTATTGGTGATAGGATTAAGTAGCAAATTATTTTAAAAAATGAAAGATATATTTTTCAGGTTTAACGTAACGTTGTCCATCAAAAAATGAAAAACAAATCAGTGGCTAAGTGATAGACGAATGCAAAATACCGATAATCTCGTTGGAAATGAGTGTTTCAAAAGAATAAGTATAAACTGTGAAATTGTATGTTGAGAAAGATATATCATTACAAAACTTACAAAACATTTTGTATTATGTCTTGAAGTATCTTGACTCCAATAATGATTATTTCCAGTATTTTTTGATGTGAATATTAAATGAGATTCACCTAAAATTTCCACTGAGTTTGTATTATCTGTTTCAGTTTCTCGTTTTCGCTAAGTTATGACGAGAATAATAAGCAAATAAGTAAACATCAAGATATATCTCAAAGAATAAGGAGGATATGATTTTAATGGATTATTTATATAAACCAAATCGCTCCCATCCCTTGTTCGCTGCATCAACGCTTACTTCGCTTCCGGAAATGCTTTAAATGTTCTTACACCTATAAGTATATCCCATTCCACAAGTGAGATTATAGAAACTAATCGAACTCCTCTACATTATGACACTTTACACTAACACCGTTCGTTGTAATCTTAACTAATTTGAATGATATCTAACCGAAATAGCATATCACAAAATAACCTTAGACGCGTATTATGGCGGATCTAACTGGCTGGCCGACCTATCGTAGTAGTTATCACTTTTTTATCCCATACATTCTGTTTTCATTTTATTTTCTCTAGCTGTAGATAATTACACTCAGTCCGTTATAGTACCGGAAATGACCTTAAATATACCTTCATATATAGACAAGATGTCTACTTAAAAATAATTAGTGGTTTCCGGCTGACGCATTTCATTGTTGTAATATATGTGAGAAAAATGTACTACCTAAGTAATTTTTGGACTAGAACCTTTCAAACAATCTAATATCCTATATATCTTCTGCATGTAATATTACTATCTACTTCAAACTGATAATGCCTGTAAAGTGGTATGAATTCCATAATTATTTCCGCAATATTTATATTATTATACATGATTCGATGATATAGCTTGTTAGATGAGAAGGGTGCCAAGCCTATGACTTATTGGTAACATGCAAAGAGTCTGAGTTACAGCTTCTTATAAGTGGTCAATGTATTCGATTTTACACAACTAGACTACAAGTTTGAGTCCTACTTCACCTAATTCAGTTTAGGCAGTCTGATGGTAGAGCTAATTGCTATACTACAGTATTCCTTACTGTCAATATATCCATTTACTCTCTAAGCTATGATGAGAATTTAGAGAAATGAGTAGTTTTAGCTCAGTATGTTTGAACGTTGCCGAAATCACTTGATATTCTACTGAAATAAGTAAAAATCTACATTTGTTTGAGATGTAATAGAAGTCAAAAAAGACGGTCATTCGAAGTAAAATATGAGCCTGAATCGTTACACTACATTGAGTTACTTACAAAAATACTTTGATAAGTTAAGCGATGGGATAAATCTATTTAGAAACATTTATCCTGAAAAAATATTTACAATTAGATCAACTACTAATATGACAAATGATAGTAACTAAAAAATCAGTTGGAATGAAAGTTTGGTGTTAAAAAAGTAGAACGAATAGGAAAGCTAACAAAATCAACGTAGAATCTGATGGAACTTCTTACTAATCCACAATGTCATATAGCATGAACACGAAAAAAGAACAAAGATATGAGAGGAAACAAAGACAAAAAAGCAACAACACCAACAATAGTTAACAGAAAAAAAAGGAAGAATTAAAAAAACAAGAGACGAAAAGTACTGAACAATAAAATTTGTGGAATCTTTGGGGAAAGGTAGAGTAAATGTATTTTCGCCGATACAAACAATCTTGAGCCATATCATCTTGAGTCAATCGGTAATTTTAAAAAATGAAAAAAGCCGCAAGAACGTTTAACCGTAAATAATGGGTGCGTAAAGTACAACATTGTGTAAGCACCAGATAAGCAAAAATCAGAAAAGAAAACGAATGAGCGGCTTCACTTTAATTACATATGTGAAGATGAGTACAGCATAATTCAACTTCAGTTTCTAGTAAATGGCGGTAGAAAATCACAACAACTAACCACAAATATTTTTAAGGTGCGTTTCTGAACCTTACTTGAAACAGCGGCTTGGTGATTAAAACATTTAGTTACCGACCACTTGGTCAAAAGTTTGAACCCCACTTTCAGCTAGTTAGTAGCGATCGAATCAGAGCCTGGTACAAATGTGAATTAGTCTAAGTTGTCATAACACATAATGATGATACAAAATTAACAAGCTGAATAACAGAGGAGTCAAGACAATGGTAGTAACAATGATAGTTAAAGGATCAGGCATTGAGAATATGGTCCATGAAATCGTGATAAAACGTTGTATATAAAAAAACGATTGAACTCAAGATCTAGAGGAAGATAAAGAGTGAATCCATAAGCCCTATTGTAACTGGCTCTCGCCAATAACACTAAATATCTCTAGACAGTGATCACAGTTATTGGGCCGACCTACAAGCAGACAGTCTACATCTACTGAAATGACTCAGTTTTACAGTTAATGACCTCATAGACAAATAACACATCTTGGTTCGTTTGCCTTTTTCCTACAGTACTTCGATAAGTAAAGTGGTATCACCAGTCACTTCAATAAAAAAGACTGGGAATTGGATAGACAAACGTATAGCTAGTGAATGGGTCCGGCGCTTTAACCGGGTTGGTGGACACGGAGATCTCACCTAGGGGAGTTGGGAAACCCTGATTCCAAACCAGTGGTGTACATGGGCTCCAGTATCCTAAGGGAACAAATGACGTATGAACCAATCGTTGGTCACCGGCTACCATGGGACTGCATCTCCTCACGATGATCCACTGCCTTGTGGATCAGACGTTTAGGTCGAAGGCCCGAGGTGTCCCCCTAAGAAAACCACCTGCTTCGGTTTGGGCACCTGGGCAGTATTACAGCCCTCACACACTAAATGAGATTTGTGTGGCGCATATGTGTTTGGTGCCTCATTGTACCGATATCTATGTGTTCAAATAATGATAATAATGATAATAACAGGTGAAACATTTACTCGTTTGCTACACTTAAGGAGCAAGAAATATCCACAAACGTAGGCAAGCACGTGAATAAAAAGAGTGGAAAAGTATTCTTCTGTAAAAAAAAACACTCACTTTTCGTTTGAACTGACTATTTTCGTTGAATTCATAGTCATGCGTTCTACGCCTTATGGTTTTAGTTCCATCCATTTAAATTATTTTGCAAATAACGATAGTACATAACGGGCTGAAAATAACAAGCGATATATAATATGAAAGGAACTGATGAGAAATATTGATAAAACTTGTAATATTAATTATGTTAAAAATTTTTCCACGAAGTGAAGACTCCCATAACAGTACTTTGTTTAAAATATGACGATCAATGGTATTTTTATTGTTTTGATAAGAAAGCAAATGGATTTGAAGTTTCAGGACGTTTAGTAATAGGTAAAAATAGCAAAGTTAGAGCGGAATCGCTACTGGCTTTTATTTTGAGTCGTGCCTGATAACGTCTCTCGCCACTGTGTTGCACCATCTCTAAAACCCCAACCAGGGAGTCATGAAGAATAAACAGAAGCCAGTCCTACATAGCTTTCTTTCATACCACGACACCATGTCATACACTGACCACCTCTCCCCCTTTTTCAGTCGGTCCCAGACGTGGAATTCCCTGGGACGACATTCGTAGAACATGTTCAAACCACCGAAGTCGATGTCTAAAGATAGCGACACTAGTTGACCGAACACACGATATTGAATCTCTGCATTACTAACATGGTGTCGCCACTGGATGTCAACAATCCTTCGTAGACAACGATGATCGAACACAGAATGTCGTCTAATATCATCAACTCGGAGAGTCCAGGTTTCACAAGCATAAAGCAAAATTGTTCTCACCAACGCGTAGTAGGTTTACAGCCAGACCAACATCATGAAAGCACCAAAAATGGCTCAGACTGACGTGATTTGATCTGACCATTCATGCCACCACCAGCACTTATGCAGCTACCCGGATACACGAACTTCCCGACTACTTATGTCCACTCACTACCCAGGGTGAGTGCAGGATCAGGGTCCTGATAGTCTTGTAGAAGTATCTTGCATTTAGAGAGTGCAAAGAGCATACCATACCTACGTACACTGATTGCCAACTCATAAAGTGAAGACTGCATGGCTTGGGTACCATCGCATAGTACGACAATGCCATCACTCTACCTGAGGTATCTGTACATAGAGCACTTAGGGTGTTAATTAAATCCCCAGGTACATCCTTCTTCAACAGACAATCCTAGAGAATAAATCAAAAGCCACCCTAGTGTCAAGAAACACTACGATTGTTGACCTACGAAATACCTCTGCCATGCTTTACAGACAGGATTCATGATGGAAGCTTCGTCTCTTGAGTGCTCTAACTGGCTTTGTAACGTTACAAAGGACCACTTCTACAAAACGTGGTAATGAGGTTCAGTTAAGCGAACTGTACATTCATGATTATGAGTCATCTGGATTCTTAGACTTTCTAGGTTTCAGAAGTCAAAGTAGCAGTAGGACAACTTTCTTAATGAGCAATAGTTCTTTTGTCAAATGATCTTTCTTTAAGTTACTTTCTGCACTATCATGTATATCTTTTCATATATGACTGTAATAATATGGGAAGCATTGCTAGTATCTTTATTAGCTTTTTGGGGTAATTTTTTCCACAATTATGTGGTAGGAAGGACTTTCAAATTTTCCATATATTAAAGGAAAATGTTTTTGAGGTCATGTTTATGTTCAAATTAACTGCTTTTCACGGTATAAACCGGACGCAATGGATAGAAACCTGTAAACGATGGTTAACTGCAAAGTATGATCTTTGGTTCCATGCTATAGCCGCCTTACATTAACGGATTACGATACGATTCAGGTAACCATTACTTCTATGTTTAGGATGCGTAAACGTTTTGACGGTGTCGCGTAGTAATACTTATGAGCTAGAGCTTCAAATGAGTATTTGAAAACTAGTTAAAGCCCATGTTCAAACTCCACGTAAAGTGCACTAATAAAGCACAACTGCAGTAAAGGCTACAGTAACACTCCTATCAAATACCACTGAGACGAGATCTCTAGCAAAACACTCTGGTACTAACACGTTTTACTATGTTGTATTTTTCAAGGTTTATCATATCCGGAACCGTCATATAAGAATCCAAAGACCACGATTGAATAAACTCAGTTCGGGTTCCCGCTTTTCCTGTCTAGTGGTAAACGATTGGAACGACCTGGAAAACGGTGTACGCTTTTAGGGAAAAACTGAATGTTTGCGTAAAAACACTGCATATATTAGGAGAAGTTAACCAGCTCACGATCCTTGTTACCGACAATAGGCTGGGAAATCTGCAAGTTTTCAAGGGAAATTTCCCTTAAGTTTCGTAACATGTGTACCTTAGTAACAAATACGATACAGGTGATACGACATGTTCATCCCTTATAAATTAGGCAAAACATCAACTGTAAGACGCATGTAATCATATAGGATTATAATTTTGTTGATTCCCCCTGATATTAAATAAAGCGTAGCTTGAAAAAAATCTGAATCAATCAGCTAAACTTGAAGTCAAAACGTTTTGATATTAGGTAACACTCTATGGCTTGATTTCATGAATAGCCAGACGAAAATACCTTGTTAAGTAAATGCACTAATGCTCAGTAACGCAACACCCAAATATAGCGCTTAACGGTATGAATTCATATCACATAAGTATTTTGAGGACAGAAAACCTACGGCCTATGTTAACCCTTTTCTGTTAATCTCCTGAAAAGGTCTAGACTTTTCCTGAGTGAGTCACTTGTATGGGCGGACACCACTTATTCGGGTAAAGGTTCCAGTATTTGAACACTCGGTGTGAAAACTTATACATCATGGGTACTTTGTTCACATTTAGTTGCTATATCCTCTAGGTTGTCCCGATTTGTAATTAAAAATAAAAAGATATTTCAGGTCCAAGATCACTTCTTAAAATTTCATATATCAAAACCAGATCACTTCTTAGTCCTTGGTTAAGCATAGTATAGAGGTTACGGTGACGTATATTCCGTGATTTTTGTAACAACATTTTTATTCAATATCTGTTGTTTTTCTGTATCACTTATTTAAAAACGATGATAATTGTTTTGATAAATGATATATACCTTTTATTACCGTGCTGATTGAAATATAGCACGTTATCTACGTCGTCTGCCCTTCTGCTTTGTTGGCCACGGTCTTTGACCGAAGTCTATAATAGCGTTATGATATTCTTTTAGGCCTTCTCACACTACGTTGGTATTTTGGCCCGGATTACTATTACATAATACTATTGGACTCTGTCTTTCTCGTCAAGCCGTCGGTGCCATCATTCGCAGGAGAATCTATGTTAAATCAAGTGGACTTATTTGTGGTTGTCATCTCAGAGAGCAGCCTTCAAGTAACATTCATTCCGTAATAATTGTTATTATCATATTGCTCGATATATCATTTGTATTATAACTGTGAATTGTGATCCTTGGTTTTTACCCGTACACAGACACCTAAAGTTTTTACGGTTAACTCATTTGGTATATTATTATTGACTTAGTGTATTGATGTACCTTGTATAAACTCTTTTTGCTGGGATTCACCACAAGGTCTAACTTCACAAACCACTCCTTATATAACAAACTCGGAAGTTCTGGATCTGCACCGGTAGCTTCTCTCTGCACGTTTTCAATGGTATTTGAGTCATCTTTATAAAGGAGCTCGCAGCCTGATCCCAGTTTTTAAGTTTGGATCTCACTAAGTTTGTATACACTGTAGTGGACATATTAGTATTCAACTTGATAATTGTCCGTCTTAAAGCCCATAGGGTTGTAAGCTGTGACCGCGCGGCACTAGGTCGTAATTTTTAGATCATGATCGTAGTACCCTCAATGTACATGTAGACACACTTGGTTGTATTGATAAGCAACAGTTATTTTTTAGACCACCTAACCAGAAATTTTAAATCTGTCTGACGTGAACATTCATTCACGTCGCCTGCTATTTCTCGCCAAATTTTTATATAATCAGCGTAAATTAACGCCAGGGACTCAACTACACTTGGGAGTTCATTTATATACATAATAAGGAGTGAAGGATTTATAACAAATATCGTTAGTTTATTGAGGAGAAAAAATATCGGCATTTTGTAAAGATATACTATATGAATTAACCATCTGGATCTGGGACCCCTAAGACTTCGGTCCAATTTATGTTCATATTTAGAAGCCTGTGGCGACCAGTAATTCACCTAAATAGAAGCTTAAAAGCAACTGAAGTAGATTGTGACCAATTTAGTTCAAATGGACAAATTGCTAGCGGATGTTGCTTCACCTTGTATCCCCGATACATCATGTTATGGAGATCCTTAACAAACTTTGATTGATTTTGAATTCTAAATACAATACGTTCCTTTGTGCTCATCTACTTTCATTTGGCTTAAATCGCGGTTTCGGGAGTTCCTAGTTAGTACGGCATTTCGAATATTTCTAATTATCATACTACATTTTGTCCGTAGATTTGAATTTTGAAGACAAAAGAGTATGATAATCAAAGATACATGTCATTGGTCAATTAATGTTAAGGAATAGAATTGTTCGAATACAGAACCCTGAGCTACTGTATTTGGTATCTTCGGGCTATCTAATAATGTGGAGCAAATCTAGTTAGTAGTCTTCACTCACGGCATTCTTATAGGTACTCGATTAGGCACTCATTAACTCACACGGTCTTCACTTTTAATTATACTATTATATCGTGGTGAACGAGAACTAAGGTGGGGAACACTAATTTATTGATAAATGCAAAACTACAGAGTGCCTTCATAAGATATAAAAACCATACGTTAAGTACATTATTTGCATATCTTCATTCAATTTTCCTTAGAATGCATCATGATTCTTCCAATTCTGTTGTTATTACAACTGCTATCTATTGTCTACCTGGTCTCTCTAATTCGGACTTCTTAGCATTCTACTGACAGGTATTCTGCATCCAACTTTTGCTAAATACTACTTATATCTGTCCGTATCGATAGCACGCACTACACTATGACCGATTATTTCAAATATTTCCGGGAATTTAAAAGATTCGTGTTATTCGAAACGTTTTAAACCTTTGGTAAATATTTTCTTTATGACATGACTGGTCATATTTACCCTGATAAGTCAGATGAATGCTGATCGTTGTGGTCACTTTTGGCTTCAGATGGTTTTAGGTGGGAACAACAAGTTGGTTAGTACCTGTTATCTGTATCCGAGTATCCGGTGGTAATTTCTAAACGCTGAAATACACAAGTGCATAACTCAACAAAATGATTTATTGAGATTAATCAAGTGTCAAACTTCGACACATTTCTTCTGTTTGCTTAGTATGGCTGAAGACTGGCTGTAGTGAAGGCGGTCACAGTATCTGTGTTAAACAAGGCACAGGGTAGAATAAATGCTGATTGAGTGGAACCATAGAATGTTTATGCAATACATACACCTGGTCTTCAGTCATTTATTTATATCCAGTAAAGTCTGTTACAAATCATGCTGATTCCTGATTGCTTTCTGTTGCTCTTCTACAGGACTGAAGTGTTTTTGACCTCCAGGATCTTTTCTCTCCAGCCGTCAACAGTAGCAACTTTCACAAGTCATTCCGCTACACGCGTCAATTTAGTGACCCTGTATCTGACTCAAATTGGACTGTATGCTGATTGTCATCTAAATATACGTGTCGACTATCCTCGATTCTTTTATCGACTTGAATTGCGCTAGTGGATAACGGATTCGCGTAACTTTTGAACAGGTACATTTTATACAACTTTTAATCGGAACAAACAATCGGAGAAACTCAGAGAAGGAAGAGAAACGAATTTGAGAAGGCATGTAAACGAACCCAATTCAGCCGAACGTTACTCGGTATTTATAGTCAGACCAAAAAGAAGCTGCAGACCAATGAATGAGATAAGTAGTTAACACATATACGATCATATAAAAAGTTAGTAAGCCAATACGTGACAAGGTTAAAATGCGGCCTCAGAAAAACGAGTAGATTGGTCTGTTCAGAAACTAGAAGAGCCTGTATATGTAGCAGTGTATTTGTGAGTGATCACCAATGGGTCATGATATATTTTCACAAAACCGGAACGGAAGGTCAAGTGTTACATCTCTAATACAACGACTTGGCAGGCAATTATGGCGATTGTACAAATTGTAAGAACTGATGAAAAATGCGGATAGTAATAAAATCCAATTACACAACAAGTCTACCTTAGCTATCCCCCCACATCGTCGTTCTCCCCCGGACTCGAATAGACCGTGATCATTGGTGAACCAAATTTATTTGATTTCACAGGGGACAAACTCTAATCAGCTCAGATAGTAGTTTTCAATTTAAAACTTTTGGATTAAAAAGGTCGAAAGAGAGACCGGTGCTCAATTTTTCATATCCGCTTCAATCTCCTTCACTGTAATAGATCAATAACTCATTTTGTTAAAAAAGCTTCACCCAATAGGAGGTTCATTTAAAATGGAACACTTATGTGCTCATACACAAATTCGTGCAAACGTATTTGCAACTAAAATCAGCAAAATGTGTGACTCATTACAGGATGCTACAGTAATAGCAAATCCCTGTTAACTTTTAGGAAGAATATCCAGTGTTTACTATATCTTCGTAGAAACTGAAGGGTATTACTTAATGTGCTACTCCTTTAAACTTATTCTAATTTGTTTTTTCCTTTCATTTTCCTAGAGACGTGACATCTTTCATACCTCTGTGAGACCATGAACTCTTTTGCAACCAAAACACTGATATCCGTAGCCTTTTATCAGATAACTCCGAAGAAGTTCGGGACAAAATATTGGTAAGTGTAAGTAAGAGGACCGACGACAGTGTTAAACCCCCACCATATAGACCCCTCGTGATAATCCTAGGGTCGAACTAGAAACCCTTAGACAAAATGGTGAGAAAACTCTCCAATTAATGGGTTTTCGAATGGTCAGGTCTTGGAAGCAGATTCTACCAAGGCCTGTGTAGTTAGGCCGTTCCTCCAACGCTCGTAGTCTAAGAAATAAATTCCATGAACTAGGAGCATGAATATACAAATTAAGTATATTCATTGTAGCTGTGATGGAAAGTTGGTTAGTTCATGACTCCAGAATTAACCGGATACCACTACGTGAGAAGTGATAGACATAGATGTCGGAAAGGAGGTGTCATCCTTTTATTCATAGCTGATGTCATCAATATCCGCTCCCTTGTTTACGAATCCGATGATAGTGGAACGTGTGAAGTCATTAGCTGTGAGCTCATTATCGGATGTTGTCCACTTATACTCGGTGTCATCTATCTAAGCCCGATCTGCTTAGCTGATGACTGTTTTAGAACACATTCCGCTATGGTGTGCAAAAAACAGATGCCTAATACTAGGAGACCTTAGTGCACCTGATATTATTTGGACTAAGATGACCACGGAATGATCTATAAACTCCTTTGATAGCAGGTTTCTGATAACTATAATGGAACATGAATTAGTACAGCATGTATCCAAACCCACACGTTTTGGTGCAAACTAAGGTTCTTCTCTGTTAGAATTAGTGACTATTCATGAAACTGAGGATATTGCCAACTTAAATATTCTTTCACCGTTAGTGAGTAGCGAACGCGCTGTTTTGTCATTCACATTTAGAGCTAGTGACATGATATACGATCAGGTTAAGCCTCTCCCAAAACGTATGGAGAGCTAACATATCAGACATTCAGGAGTGCTTTGCCAAGACATATTGGGCAGTAGATACTAGCTCATCAGTCAAAGAAGCGAGGTCTATATTTAGAGACAAGTTTAATCCAGTTACGTGCTCGTCCATACCGTACATGGTGCCATGTAGACCGAGTAAAAATCCACCATGGATAACTAAACAAGTCAAGAAACCTCTTAGCCGCGGAAAAAAGCACTGGAATATGTTCATTTCTACTGGCTTAGTACAATACAGATCCAGTTATTGTAAGATTAGAAATGCATGTAAAGCGTTAATAAGTAAGACTAGACGGTCATGTGAAAAACAATTGGTTATGAATTGTAAAAATGGTCCAAAACAGTTATTCTCTTATATAAAGAGGCGAACTCACAGAAGTAATGGAATTCCATCACTTTTGCTATAAATTTGGTAATATTGGTAAGAAATGATACCGAAAAAACTGAAGCTCTATCGGAATATTTCAGTAAGGTGTTTTCTATAAGTAATAAGGAACGATCGACGATTGATTGTGATTGTGGAGGCTTGTTGAGGGACCCTGTAGTTATTGAAAGAGGTATAACCTTAAGATTATTTCAGCATCTCAAACCTGATAAGTTCAGTGGTCTTGATGATATTTATTCTAGGGTTATGAAAGCCATATCAGATGTAATTGCTTAACCTTTAGCGATGCTGTTTGATATGTCTCTGGAGCATTCCAGACTGCCCAGAGTCTGGAAAAACTCAACAATTAGTCCGGTTTATAAGGCTGGAAGTAGAGATTTAGTAAGTAACCATCGACTTGTTAGTTCAACCAGTGCAGCTGTAAAACTGATGGAAAAAATTATTCCGATAGCTGTGTGGAAAGGCATAATCTTTTATCCAGGGAACAACATGGTTTTCGAAAAGACCTATCATGTTTGACAAATCTTACTGCAGCAAAAGGTCGGAATATCCCTGTAGATGTGATATTCATAGATTTAAGTAAATCCTTTGATAAGGTCTCCCATTGTGGTCTCAAATTCAACCTGGAAAGTGTTGGGACCCATTATACAGTCATAAACTGGATAAGTAACTTTCTCCATGACAAGAGACAAAAGATAAGGGTAACTGGAGCTCTCTCGTCGTGGGAACCTGTAAAAAGTGAAGTTCCCCAATGCACAACCTCTTCTCTTCTTTTCTACTTTATGTAAATAAATCATCAACTGTAGCAAAATCATCCGTTCTATTCCTTGCCGATGACAAAGAGATTTGGAGAAGCACACACAGCATGTCAGATAGAGTAGTACTACAGGATGATCTTAACTCGTTGGTGGCATAGATGGACAGGTGGTCACTAGAAATAAATACTAACAAGAGTGTGGTGATGTAATTAAATAACTATGATGATTCGTATTACTACACAATATGTTAATTCGTGCTACCCAAAGTAAAAACCGTAAAGATTTAAGAGTCATACTAAGCAGAGGCCTCAAAACCACCAGTCATCTTAAGGCTATTGCTGCAAAAGGCTGTAGGGTGTTATGGTCTATTCGTATGTGTTTCCAGTATTTAGATAACGAAATGTTTAGATTATTATACCCGACTTTCGTGCAACTTCATTTGGAATATGGAATTCGAACAGCGAGTTGATGTTTCAAGTATGGGGTGGATAAACCGGAATGAGTCCGGCGATGTAGGACCAAAATAGTAAAAAGCCTACCTGGCGTATCATATGAAGACAGACTGAGACACCTTAACTTATTTCCGTTATCTTACCGAAGAATACGAAGTGATTTAATATATACTTATCGTATACTCGTTAATAATATGTCTTGGCTTTTCCTTCCTCTAGGATTGGTCATTTGAGAGGACATTAGAAGAAAAATCAAAAACTGTGACCAAATTGTCTACGTCTGGAGTTTCGTAGTGAATTACTGGAATTCTCTACCAGGACACATAATATCATCACCTTTACAGTGTTATAAACTTCAAGGATTAATATAGGTCAATAGACCTCCTATCTTTATTACTAAAGACTGAATCTACAATGACCTCTGCGGGTTCCTCAAATATCTTTGAGGTCGTTCCTTTTTCTTCCCACCCTCTGGTATGGTCAACCAGTTGAGAAGTATGGCCTGCAGACATGTCCAAAACATGGTCCAAAGCGTCTCAAAATGTTCTGGGAACGAGGCACCATACTCACCAATTGTTGATACTGGTTGTGACTCCCCATCTAGCCTTCCTAAAGCCTGTAAAACATCGGGACTATCCGAAAAAAAATCTGAGTCTCACTCCGTAATTGATGCAAAGTGTCTGAACAAAAGCTGTGTTTCATCAAGTGTTCCTCAAGCTTGTGATTTCCACTGCGAAGGAGACCAACAATTAAATGTCAAATGTGCACAGTCAAAAAAGATAGCATCTGAAGGTATTGTGCTTCGTTTTAGTTCTATTGCCCCCAGATTTGGATGACCGTCAATCTCCAAATGATTACCTTTGGCAAAAATTGGAAGCATTGGTTGATCAGATGATCTCAGAAGAGGATGGAATTCCCGTCCGCAATGTTAAAAGTCTAATGTCAATAATTCCCAGCACATTTACCGGTCAGTTTCTGTTTGATGGGTCTTGTTATTTAAATAATGTTTCTGTACTTTGTTTCCCAAGTGTGATAAATAACTGCCTTTAGTTCCCAATTACTATAATCTGTCTTACCATAAATATAGATTCAAAACTTAGTTAGTATACATATTTAATTTTTCTCTGTGGCCAGGGGTGCCGGTGAAATTTCTAATATCATCTAAGTCTTGAAGCAGCTGTCCTGTGTATTTTAATTCAGTGAGATAAGCTCAGTCCTAAGGCAGTTAGTATATTGTTCGTTCTGTACAATTTAAACATCACTGGGTGATATAATCCGTAATTGATGTCATCGGGTGGCAAAGCTAATGCAAAGTTTCTTACAAGCTTTTCATCGTCGTAGATGATCATTACCGAACCATAACATGTTCGAGTTGCCTGTGGGTGTGGGCTGACGTCCCCACTGACGTACTCTATTCATAGGGATCTACTATCAGCCTCAATATATGTTGCCTGGTGATCTAGCCGTATGGCTTAATTCTTAAGATGGCAATATTTGAAGCAAATACTGTATGTTTATGGATTTAGTGACTTGTTTGTATGTTTGTGAAAATCGAGTGTTGCTTTTTAGCATCTGTAAGTCATTTAAGCTTTTTTTTGCCAACGATTCAGGTAGTACAGTTTACAAGTGTTGGATGAAGATTTAGTATCCCCGGCTTAATCTCTAAGGTATGATAACTAAAGTTAGTACATTATAAGTGAGATAATAGACGAGAAATTCCATCCCAAACATTGTTTTTCAACTAAGTTTGTGTGCAATCCAGTCTTTAATCATCATAATGATCAGTGCAATCTCTAATTACTTTGAAAAGGCACACTTAACCAAATTATGAAGACCTCATTATTTGTTTGCGTATTCTCTCAAAATAGTTTGTTATCCATGTACTATGTTGTTGTCATGTTTTCTTACGACAGATCATTCTTCTAAAGGTTTTAAACAAAGTTGTCTTTGACAGTGTTTGTTAGCGTAGAATATGTTTTAGGAACACTGCTTATTATTGGCTTGATAGTTCTAAGTGTATCGGTCTACGTGACCTCCGAGTAAGTTGCTTTATGGATTTTCTTCAAAATAAACTTATATTGTTAACTGAACTATTAAACTACCTTAATCTAATATATTAGCACCTACTGTTTCTGACTTCTTATTTTAGGTAGTGATATTGTTCATTGGTTGATGGAACACATTGGAGCTAGTGATGTTACTGAAGCCGTTCATATTGCTAGTCGTATTGCGTCTATGGGTTATATTTTTTGCATTGATGATCATGTACTCACTGTGAAAAATGATGGACACACGTACTATCGATTTCAAACTCCTTTCCTTTACCCAAGTCGATGCATGGAGGCAGATACGGCAGATTATGCTGTTTATTTATGTAAACGCACCATGCAAAATAAACAGAGATTGGAACTGGCTGGATTTGAAGCTGAACGCCTGGCTAGTTTACAAAATATTTACTGCCATAAGTGGGAGTTCATTTATATACAGGTATATTTTTATTTATTTATTTAAACACGTAAACATTGATACAAAGAGGCACCAAATATATGCGCGCCATATAAATCATTCGATTTATGTGAGGGTTGGGATACTGCCTGGGTGCTCAGACCAAGGCAGACTGATTTATTAGGAGTTCACTCTCCGAGCCTTCGAACTAGAAGTCTAATCCACTAGGTAGTGGAGCAACGTTAGGAGATGCAGTCCCATGGTAGCCGGTGATCAATAGATCCACACGCCATTTCTTCCCTTGAAATCCTGGAGCCTATCTGCACCATTGATTAGGAATCAGTGTTTTTCGACTCTCCTAGGTGGACCCTCCGTATCCACTAACTTGTGTAGAGAGCCGGAATTCACTTTCCGTCCTTTCAATTTCATAACCAACACCCCCACCTCGTGAGGACAGTGAGTAGGACTTCTCTGTCAGTGGCTGTATACGTGTAACCATATGAGAGCATTTCGAGTGGGAGAGCTGACTCTCTTCACCCTCGGCCACACCAGGGCGTTCATTTATATACAGGTAGATCAAGCCTGAAGCTTTTCCAAATGGTCTCTCAATAAATGCATGTTTTTAATTTTTAAGATTAGTACTCGGTTCTTTCGTAATAATTTCTGCAACTCACTAACCGACCGCAGATTCGTGTACTGATTTTGATTCAGTGCATAGTAACTAAGGCTGGTACTCAATCGCTCAAACACATAAAGAAAGTATGTTTGAACCTGCTACTTAGTGGTTGAAAATAGAGCCCTAGAAACAAGTTTCTTATTCACTTAAAAATTCAACCTATCACCTATTTGTAAAAAAAACATGGAGTTTCGCAAAATATGCAAGGTTACCGTTAAAACGACACTTCTTACTTCGTCCTTGACCGTTGTTGCTACCTTGACGTGGTGGTCGGGCTTGCCTATCGTGATGAAGCAACTGAGCTATACTGGCTGGAACAACCGTTCCTCAAGGTCCTACCATGCCAGACAGGTCGGTTGAAGAGCTGTAAGACTAAAAGCAACAAAACCATGGTCCGAAGGCGAAGTCGTACTGCTGACTGTACAGAGGTGTGACAGCAGTAAGGTGTTTCCTTCAGACAACCAGCATGACAGCGATGCTGCCTTCCCACAAGGAGGGGTGGGGTTAGAAAAGGTCGACCCTAAAAATGCACACCTCGCCTTATCCCACGGATATCCGTCTCCGGCGGTAAGGTCTCAACAAGTACGGAGCTAACACAAAAATTACTCATAAAAAGGTCGTGTGTGACCGACCTCAAGCAGCTGTCCCTTGGGCACTGTGGTCACGCTCTCAGGTCACTGTGACCACCTCTAACCCAATTTCCTTTTTAGGTACCTCCAGCAGAACCCTTCCACGGTGTGGGCATCCGGGAAGTGATAACCGCTCTCATACCTCTAACAGCACTCAAAACCACTGTATTCATAATCAACCTACCTCTTCAATTCCTATTTTTCCTCTTACATCGACTTTCAAATCTAAACTCCCTCTTTCGGCTTCCTCCTCAAGTGTCACCACAGCCAACGATTCTAGTGCGCAAAACACTGTCCCAGGTCTACTGAAACCTCGCTCCAAACTACACATTGGAGCCTTCAACGTACGCACACTATGCCAAATCGGTCAGCAGGCTTCCTTGGCTAAAACCTTAGAATCTCGTACGATTAATGTATACTGTGTCTCCGAAACACGCATACAGGATCCTAGCGTGGTCATTCACTTGACCTCACCTCGGCAAGACGGAGTGCCGACGAGATACACCCTCCGTGTATCTGGCGACCGGATGGCTAGTTCTCGTGGACTTGCAGGTGTCGGCATAGCACTAAGCATGAGGGCGGAACAAGCGTTATTAGAGTGGATCCCCGTTAATAGTCGTCTATGCGCTGTTCGGCTAAACGGCGCCGTAAGAACTCGGGAGGATAGGGACACATGTCGTTGTCTTTTCGTCGTTTCTGCCTACGCTCCCACTGACTGCAGTTCGGATGAAGTGAAAGATGTATTTTACAGAAAGCTGTCTGAACTTCTTCAGAAAGCTAAACGTTCAGACATAGTACTCATAGCAAGTGACTTTAATGACCAGGTAGGTAGCTTAAACGAAACAGAAAGGCATTTAGGTGGGTATTTTAGTATTCCGGCACAGAGAACAGATAATGGTGATCGTCTGCCGCAACTTTGCTCAGACAATCGTTTATTTTTAGCAAACACAAACTTTAAGCATAAGGAGAGTCATCGTCTAACACGGCGACCCCGTGCACTAAATCAACGATGGACTCAAATAGACCATATTGCCATCAGTCATCGTTGGAGAGGGTCAATAGAAGATTGTCGTTCATTCTGGAGTACCTGCTTGGACTCCGACCATGCTCTAATAAGAGTACGCATCTGCTTGCGCCTCACTGGACGCAAAAAAGCCACACAAAAAAGACTCATTAGAACCGAATTGAGTAATGAGAAAACCAAAAGTAGGTTCCAGGAACAACTGAGGTCACACTTCGGTAGTTCTGAAAACGAGGCTGACCCCAATGTTGATTGGAAAGACATACAAGCGGCTGTGGAAACAGCAGTGACATCTACTAGTGATTTAAACCACAGGGTTACAAAGAACCAATGGATTTCTTCAAGGTCTATTGCACTGATAGATTCACGCAAACTCATCCCATCAGGTTCTGAACACGATGAAGAGCGAAAGTGAATCAGATCTAGGTTAAGCAAAAGTCTAAGGAACAACCGTGAGCAGTGGTGGGCAACGAAAGCAAAAGAGATGGAAAAGGCGGCGGCTATAGGGAACACAAGACAACTCTACAGACTAATAAAAGAAACTGGAATTAATAAGTCAAGTGTAAGTCAGACTATTTCGGAAAAAGACGACACTCATCTGCTCCCAGTCCAGACGTTTAGAACGATGGGCGGAACACTTTAAGGAGCAGTTTAGCTGGCCTTCAGCTACTCTACAACTACCCTCTATTCCCAGACAGTATGAATGAAACATTGAAGTAGGTCCCCCAACTCTACCTGAAGTTCAAAAGGTTATAGTTAATCTGAAACGAGGAAGGGAAGCAGGTCCAGATGGATTGGCCCCAGAGGTCTTTAAGGATGGTGGTCTAGTTTTAGCGATTAGGTTGACTAATATTTTAGCTAAAATCTGGGAGTTAGATGTTATCCCATTTAACTGGTCACAATCACTTATCGTTCCAATATTTAAGAAAGGGTCGAAATCATCCTGTGACAACCACAGAGGGATTAGTTTAACTAATATAGTATCTAAAATACTAGCCTCGATAATTATCGGACGCCTAACAAAGACTCGTGAACTGCAAACACGTGAAAATCAGGCTGGCTTCAGACCTGGTCGTGGATGCATAGACCACATATTCACCATTCGTCAGGTTCCAGAACACAGGCATACTTATTGGCGTCCGACAATAGTGGTCTTCCTTGACCTAAAAGCAGCATTTGACTCTGTTGACCGAGAGGTTCTGTGGCTGTGTCTGTCATTGAAAGGCGTACCTCAAAAGTACATAGACCTTGTGAAAGCTCTTTACTCGAACACTACTAGTCGAGTCAGAGCTTATGGCGAACTGTCGTCTGCTTTTGCAACCTCAAGTGGTGTCCGCCAAGGCTGTCCACTTTCTCCATTTTTGTTCAACTTCATCATAGATCTACTGATGGAAATAACGCTCTTATCGACTGAATTCTCGGGTATTGATCTCCTACCAGGAGGTCCACTTATTGACTTAGAATACGTAGATGACATAGGCCTGTTTGGTGAAGACGCTGATGAAATGCAGAGTCTTTTGGTAGCACTGAGCAACAATGCTAGGATGTTTGGGATGCGCTTCTCTACCTCCAAATGTAAGTTGTTGCCTCAGGACTGGTTTGCGTCAACACCTGAACTAAGGATAGGGAGTGAAGTAATCGAACGCGTTAACAACTTCACTTATCTTGGGGGTCTGATCAGCCCTAATGGCTTGGTGTCTGACGAAATCTCAGCACGGATTGGAAAAGCTCGTTTGGCCTTTGCCAACTTACGTCATCTATGGCGAAGGCGAGATATTCGTCTATCAATTAAGGGACGAGTAAACTGGGCAGCAGTTCGTTTCGTTCTACTATACGGCTGCGAAACATGGCCTTTAAAAGTAGAAGATATTCGTAAGTTGCTAGTATTTGACCACAGGTGCCTTAGAAATATTGCGGGTATCTGCTGGGATCACCGGGTAAGTAATAGTGAGGTTAGACGCAGGGTATTAGTGAATGATGGTAAATCAGTTGATGAGGTTATGAATCTTCATCGACTGAGATGGTTGGGCCACGTGCTGCGTATGCCTGAACACCGATTACCACGGCGCGCAATGCTAACCGGTGTTAGGGATGATTGGAAGAAAGTTAGGGGCGGCCAAACCAAAACGTGGCATCAGTGCTTGAAGTCACTAACTTCTGGTCTGAGCCATGTTGGTAGATTCAGACTACCTGGTTGGGGTCCGCGTGACTATCGTAACCAATGGTTGGAGACTCTTGGTGACATGGCTCAGAATCGATCACAATGGCGTCGGTGTGTACACTCTCTGTCTTCCTTCAAACTAAGAGATTAAAATCGCTTCATATCTTTTTTCTAGGAACTAATTTTTTCTTCCTGTACTATCTCCTTATACACAATCTTTCTTCTATATATTACCACCACTGAATTAACTACTTCTATGAATCCGGTGTTCATCTTGTTGTGCTAATGCGGTATGGCAACTTGGACCGATGCATATACGTGCCTGGTCCTACGTTGCAGCTGACTGACTCTTACTTTGTCGTTTAGGTTAAGCTATTATTTACGAGTTTTTCACTGACGTATGTAGTCGGGATCACATTCTTGGTCAACTGATTGCCAAAATGTCTAGATTATCTGTTAGTTTTTACATTTCACAGGCTTCAGTTAGTTGCTTAGGGTTATTTCGTTAGATGATGAGCTAGTATTCCTAGTAAAAAGTTGTGTTTAAATTTCGTAAAGAAAACGTATACAATGGAATTTAGTTTCCTGATTACATTATCTGTTTGTCAGATCCGTTAAATGTTGACAATTCTACTCAACTACCTGGGCAATAGTAAGTCATTGGTTAGAACTGAAATGCCCGATACCAGTGAGCATTAACTATACTTTGATATTAAGTAGAAGAGATAGAATATTGAAAAATATCAAGTTGTAACCTAATAAAAAATGTCTAATAATTTTGCTTTCAAAAGATTGTTATTGACCAGTAATTTATTCACTTATTGCAAATAAAAACAATCTGTCGTGATATTTTGTGCAGATCCTTCAAAAGTTCCTTACAGTAATCAGTATTAAGCACAAAACTACTTATTGAGTTACTCAATTCATACTATTTTGTTGTGATACATTAAATTTTTGATCATCACTCATATATGTATGTGTAATATAAAATTCTTACTTTTTGTGTAGGCAGAAGCAGAAGCTAAGGTAGATAAGAAAAGAGATAAATTAGAGAGACTGGTACTTGAATCACAAGAACGAGCCTATTGGGATTTACATAGACCACCACCAGGCTGTATCAATACAACGGATATTGATATGCGTAAGTTGTGTCGCGCTAAACGCCCTAAAAAAACCACATCTCGACCTATAAATTTCCCTATTCCGAGTGGCCCAGGTTAGTGTATTTCTTGTATTTTCAGGTTACAATTTTATGTAAATTATTAACTTTTCAAATAATTATGTGTTGTATATAGTAACTTATTCAATTTTCCTCTATCCATACGACAGTCCGTCTGATTGAGTCAAATTTAGTATCCATGTAGTGCATCGTTCTTTTACTAATGCTTCAAACATCAATATGTATCAGATTTCAGATCATTTCTCCCATTCCTGGTTTTAAAATTAGACTGAGTAGAAGAAATTTTATACTTACAGTCCTTTGTATAAGCTTTAAAGAAAGTGAAAAAAAAAACTATTTAGACAGAATACCATGATGGTTCAATCTGTTTCACTAATTTTGTCTATAAATTAGTGATATTTCAACTTACTATTTTAAATATGGATATATATATATATATATATATATATATATATATATATCACTATCGCTCTTTAAATGAATGAGAGATGTTTAGCATCCGATTTGAAGTTTTTTCACCAGTGAGAAGCAGTGAAAATCGAATCAAACAAATTTGACATCTTTTTTGTGATTCGTCACATTACTCACTAAATACATGATTTTTATTTATTTGAACGCAAATATTGGTACAACAGGGGCACCAGATATATATGCGCCACACAAAACAATGAGAATGGGAAGAAAAAAAAGAAGGTAAGGTTCATTGTTAGCGGGACATAGATTGGATTAAATCATGCTCAATGCACGCTTGTGTTGACGCACACTGATTGGCTAATTTTTATCCAATCAGCGCTAACCAACACTTAGAGAACACTCTAGAAATCTTCTCATGTAAAAAAACTATAAATATACTAACGATTTTCCTATTGTGCTTCTTGCTTCCATCTAACCTTGTTATTTGGAATATAATCTTTCTGTTCAACCGTGTTCTGATTTGGGGACTTGTCGAGCGAATTGGTGTTCGAGAATACTAAGCAATAGGAATAGCTGGGTTACAACCGTAAGAGAGAATTATAACATGCATATAAGAAAAAAAGCAATAACGACCACAGATTAGTGTGTGGTAGTGTAATAATAATAGGGAAACAGAAAGGTACAACCAGAAGAATCCTTTCAGTTAAGGAAGTTACAACCACTTTTATGAAGAAAGTAAAAGGAGGTTACAGCAGAATCGCCACTGTCTTCTATTCTGAACCATATCTGGTAACGTCTTTAGCCACTGTGTCGCACCATCTCTCGGACCCCAGCCAGGGAGTCGTGAAGGACAAACACAAGCCAGCCCTTTACAGCTTTCTTTCATACCACGACACCATGTCATACACTGACTACCTCTCCGCTTTTTCCAACCAGTCCCAGAGTCGGCAAATAATGCATGACATGGAATTCTCTGGGACGACATTCGTAGAGCATGTCCGAGCCACCGAAGTCGGTGTTTCAAGATGGTGACACCAATCGGATTGTCGTCTCTGTGCCCGAACATACGATGCCGAACCTCTGCATTACTAACATGGTGTTGCCACTGGATGTCAGCAATCCTTCTGAGACAATGATGATCAAACACAGGGTTTCGTCTAATATTTTCAACTCGGAGAGTCCAGGTGTGTGGCGCATATATATTTGGTGCTCTCTTATGCCAATATTTATGTGTTCGAATAAATAAATAAATGAGTTCAGGTTTCACAAGCATAGAGCGAAACTGCTCTCATCAACGCGTTGTAGATCAGACCTTTTACGTCCAGACTGACATCATGAAGGCGCCAAAGGTGGCCCAGATTGGCATAAGCCGCTCTGACTTCCATTATACGTGAATTAATCTCATCACTCGTGCCACCACCAGCACTTATGCAGCTACCTAGATACATGAACTTCTCGACTACTTCTATCTGCCCTCACTCTGCCTGAGGTGTTTGTATATAGGGCTTTTAGGATGTTAATAAACTCAGGCACACCCTTTTTTAATAGACAATCCCAGAGAAAATTCCTGTCCAACGAATCGAAGGCAGCCCTGATGTCAAGAAACACTACGATTGTTGGCCTGTGACTTATCCCCCGATAGTTGTTACAAGAACGACGTAAACCCTTTTTAAAAATAGGGACAACTATCGACTCATTCCATGACGTTGGAATACTCTCTAGCTCCCAAACCTTTGTAAACAACGTTGTCAGTTCCTTAACCAAAAAGTCACCACCATCTTTAAAAAGAGCCAGAGGTAAGTCATATGGGCTCGCTTCAAGAGTTGGAGTTCCTTGCGGACTTCCGCCTCGTTTGATGGATCAGTCGTCACCGGCCATGGAGGGCAGGACAGTCTGACCGATGTTGCCGGAGCAGCAGGCCAGTTGGACTGCCCTTCGAAGAATTCTGCCCATCGTCCAATACGTCGGTGGATGTTAGTGATTGGCGTTCCGTCATCCTCGCAGATTGTTTCTCTCACACCAGACTTCTTGCTGTCAGTGTCTCGGATGAGTTGCAAGAGCTTCCGGTAGTTAGCGGATTCAGTTGCTGCTTCCGACCTCCAGGCTTCTCGGTCCTTACGCAAGCTTTGCCTGATTTCATTACGTAACAGCCTTTGTTTGTGGTCAAACTCAGGGTCACCCGCAGTAGACTGATGGGCTCCGATGAGTTTTAAGGAGCCTGCAGAAACCCAGTGCTTATAAGCGGGATGTTTCGCGAAGCCACAAGCAGCTTTACTCGCCATTTTTATGGCGTTGTGCGATTGCAACCAATGCTGATCTATACTTTACGATGGGGTGTTAGCTAGCCTTGAACCTAGTTCAGTTTGATATTTAGTCGCAACAGAAGCCGCGACCAACTTACTGATATCGATCCGTTTAGGACGATGAATTTGTTGGCCACTGAAAAGTAAGGTAAGTTTGGCGCAGACCAGGACATGATCAGAGTCCAGATAGGTGCTCCAAAAGGAGTGGCAGTCTTGTACACAACCACGACAGCGGTAGCTGATCGCGATGTGATCAATCTGATAGTAGAATTCATCCTTGATTGCATCCGGGTAGCAATCTGTCGGGGCATAGGCGGAGATGACGAAAAGACATCGTTTCTCACGCCGATTTCTTCTCACTTTGATGGAACTTTCTAATCTAACAGCACATAACCGACTGTTAATGGGGATCCAATCGATTAGTGCTGCCTCAGCTCTAGTGCTTAGTGCGACACCAACGCCAGCAAGACCAGAGGAATATACCACAGGGTCCCCGGATAAACGCACGTAAAACAAGATTTTTGAAGCGACAGATGGAGAGCGAATTTGTTGTACTTCACCAGAGTCTTGAATACGGGTCTCTGATAGACAACACACGTCAATATTAAGACTTTCCAAAGAAATAGCCAGCCCTATCTGTTGTCCGACCTGCATAAATGTGCGAACGTTGAAGGCAGCCAGTTTGAATGGTGCACGTGGTTTCAGAAAAACTGTTTCAGTATTCGTATTCGGTAGTAGCATTTAATTTCCAACCAGTCAGTGACTCGAGATCGTTTAGATAGAACAGAGTTTCCACCATGGACGAGCTGCTGTATAAGTTGAAAAATAAGGATAAACAAAGTAGGAATAAAAGAGAGTGTAAAAGTGACGTGGTAAAAAAAATAATAATGCGAATTGTTTGATTGTTAATCGGAGCGTGCAGCATTGGTTTGGAATCAGGTTTTTCCAACTTCCCTAGGTGGACTCACCGTGTCCACCGGCCCTGTTAAAGCTCCGGAAATTCGCTTTTCGTCCTCTCAATTTCGTAAACAATACCCCCGCCACGAGAAGTCAGTGAGTAGGACTTCCCTGGCAGAGGCTGTATACGCGTGGCCGTGTGAGAGCATTTCGAGAGGGATGGAGGGCCCTTCCCACTCTCGGTCGTACTAGGGCATTTGGGAGCTCTAAATACATGAAAACATTTCATTTTCTATATTCCTGTCACTGTTTTATAATAGGTTTGTTCGTATGTGTCACTTTTTCCATCAGTTTATTTAAAGTTATCTCGAAAATAACGTACGCTAAGTCTCCAGTACTACATGATAGTGGTAAGTAAAGTGAAGAAAGATCTTACTAATGTGTTAGGTAGTTGGAAACATCTGACATAACCCTGGATTTATGTTTTTTACTGGTTGATATTCGTCACCAAGTTGTATCTACAATTTTCAAGAAACTGATACTCTATTGAAATTCGAACCTACCACATTCAGTGTTAGGGTCAAAAACACTTATTACTGGTAACATTTCCTAGTATTTGTAAAGTTCATCAGTCGACAAATGTGCCTTCTTTTTGAAGTAAGGTGGCAACTATACAGCTTGTTTTCTTTTATCGAAAATAGGCGGAGTTGTGTTTGAATGCGTGATCAATGCTTTCATATATAATTATATATTTATATTCACTACATAACACTGTCTTTCATAGAAATCATGTGTATTTTAGTGTGACTGATTTTTACAAGAGTAAAGTGTCCAAATCCTTAAGAATTATTACCTTGAGTGTGACACTTTTCCGGAACACTTGAGGCTGACTGATAATGAAAATTTTTCCCTGGTCAGTTATCGTTTTTTTAAATTCTTTGCACGTTAATTCATATAAAAAGGAAGGGAAATGATATTTTTCCATTTTTCATCTTTTCCTGTATGTTTTAGATGGATCTATTTTATTTTCCGTTTTGGATGGTCTTTCACTACGAGATAGGATAGACAAACTTCATACTTGTTCACGTACAAGAATTAAATCATCTAAAGCTGCTGAGAGTTTGCAAGTGTGTTTATATCACGTAGTTCGTTAATCCACTTATAGTCATATGATTTTAAAATGTACACTTTGATTCATTAGTGTAGGTTTTCAACTTTTGATCACTGGATTACAGTTTTTGATTCCACTCCGTTTACATTGATATTCGGGTTATAATCTCACTAGAGCTCACAAACCAAATGGTATGACTTGGAATCTACAACGTAAGACTGCCAAGGACTATTTTTTAGTTACATTTATTCTGCATTTCAGATTTCTCAACTTAATTAATACACTCATTAAATCGTCAAATTAAGTTCAATCACATCAGTTAGCATGTGATAAGATGACATCCAGAGAGTAGTGTGGTAGTTGGCTGACACAATATTGATAAAATTGGTTGAATTCTCAGTATTCTAAGTTCTAGAAGGAACGGATAATAAAGCGTATGCTATCAGTCTATTAATTTTTGACCAAAAATATTCCTTTTCCGTTTTCTTATTTCCTTTTGTTTCTCTTATAAACATAACAGGTAGGTGACTATTTTTGTCATTCACTTGTTTACTGTTTCAGAACTTTGCCGATCAGTATTCTGAATTTGATTTACTTTTATCTACGTCAACATCTATCAGTTTTTCTGCACCGTCTACGATTGGAATAAGTCAACCGAATACAGCTTCTTCTACTAGCCAGTTGGCGTTAGGTAGTTTAAGTGTGAATACTAATTCCTTTACCACTGCCACTACGCCAACATCTATATTACGTACATCCGGTGATAAATTAATTCACCATACTCGTAGTATTTCAGCTACTGGATTTAATGGAATCACATCATTAACTTCAATGTCATTAGCTCGTACCAGCAGTGGAACAGGAAATGGTGCACATAATTTCTCGACAGGTGGTCAAATTTCTAGTGGACATGGATCAGCTAAACATATGGGAGTAATTACTGCTAATTCACCTAATTCAGGTAGTTAATTATTTTCCTTTTTTCTCTATCGGCGTTAATATGATTGTAGATAATAAAAAGTAGGATTTATTTTATCATGTCATATAGTTTCTGAAGCTCTTTAATGAATCGGCTACTTTGTAGTTAAGGCGTTGAACTTTCAACTACCAGATCGTAGGTTCCCGAGTCTTGCTCCACCTACTTCTGTTTAGTCAGTTGGACAGTATTATTAGCTGTTACGCAAAATACAACTTACTTCAACTCAATGTCCTTCAGTGTTCCTAATTTCCATTCAATATACCATGTAATACCATGTAATCATATAGGATTATAATTTTGTTGATTCCCCCTGATATTAAATAAAGCGTAGCTTGAAAAAAATCTGAATCAATCAGCTAAACTTGAAGTCAAAACGTTTTGATATTAGGTAACACTCTATGGCTTGATTTCATGAATAGCCAGACGAAAATACCTTGTTAAGTAAATGCACTAATGCTCAGTAACGCAACACCCAAATATAGCGCTTAACGGTATGAATTCATATCACATAAGTATTTTGAGGACAGAAAACCTACGGCCTATGTTAACCCTTTTCTGTTGATCTCCTGAAAAGGTCTAGACTTTTCCTGAGTGAGTCACTTGTATGGGCGGACACCACTTATTCGGGTAAAGGTTCCAGTATTTGAACACTCGGTGTGAAAACTTATACATCATGGGTACTTTGTTCACATTTAGTTGCTATATCCTCTAGGTTGTCCCGATTTGTAATTAAAAATAAAAAGATATTTCAGGTCCAAGATCACTTCTTAAAATTTCATATATCAAAACCAGATCACTTCTTAGTCCTTGGTTAAGCATAGTATAGAGGTTACGGTGACGTATATTCCGTGATTTTTGTAACAACATTTTTATTCAATATCTGTTGTTTTTCTGTATCACTTATTTAAAAACGATGATAATTGTTTTGATAAATGATATATACCTTTTATTACCGTGCTGATTGAAATATAGCACGTTATCTACGTCGTCTGCCCTTCTGCTTTGTTGGCCACGGTCTTTGACCGAAGTCTATAATAGCGTTATGATATTCTTTTAGGCCTTCTCACACTACGTTGGTATTTTGGCCCGGATTACTATTACATAATACTATTGGACTCTGTCTTTCTCGTCAAGCCGTCGGTGCCATCATTCGCAGGAGAATCTATGTTAAATCAAGTGGACTTATTTGTGGTTGTCATCTCAGAGAGCAGCCTTCAAGTAACATTCATTCCGTAATAATTGTTATTATCATATCGCTCGATATATCATTTGTATTATAACTGTGAATTGTGATCCTTGGTTTTTACCCGTACACAGACACCTAAAGTTTTTACGGTTAACTCATTTGGTATATTATTATTGACTTAGTGTATTGATGTACCTTGTATAAACTCTTTTTGCTGGGATTCACCACAAGGTCTAACTTCACAAACCACTCCTTATATAACAAACTCGGAAGTTCTGGATCTGCACCGGTAGCTTCTCTCTGCACGTTTTCAATGGTATTTGAGTCATCTTTATAAAGGAGCTCGCAGCCTGATCCCAGTTTTTAAGTTTGGATCTCACTAAGTTTGTATACACTGTAGTGGACATATTAGTATTCAACTTGATAATTGTCCGTCTTAAAGCCCATAGGGTTGTAAGCTGTGACCGCGCGGCACTAGGTCGTAATTTTTAGATCATGATCGTAGTACCCTCAATGTACATGTAGACACACTTGGTTGTATTGATAAGCAACAGTTATTTTTTAGACCACCTAACCAGAAATTTTAAATCTGTCTGACGTGAACATTCATTCACGTCGCCTGCTATTTCTCGCCAAATTTTTATATAATCAGCGTAAATTAACGCCAGGGACTCAACTACACTTGGGAGTTCATTTATATACATAATAAGGAGTGAAGGATTTATAACAAATATCGTTAGTTTATTGAGGAGAAAAAATATCGGCATTTTGTAAAGATATACTATATGAATTAACCATCTGGATCTGGGACCCCTAAGACTTCGGTCCAATTTATGTTCATATTTAGAAGCCTGTGGCGACCAGTAATTCACCTAAATAGAAGCTTAAAAGCAACTGAAGTAGATTGTGACCAATTTAGTTCAAATGGACAAATTGCTAGCGGATGTTGCTTCACCTTGTATCCCCGATACATCATGTTATGGAGATCCTTAACAAACTTTGATTGATTTTGAATTCTAAATACAATACGTTCCTTTGTGCTCATCTACTTTCATTTGGCTTAAATCGCGGTTTCGGGAGTTCCTAGTTAGTACGGCATTTCGAATATTTCTAATTATCATACTACATTTTGTCCGTAGATTTGAATTTTGAAGACAAAAGAGTATGATAATCAAAGATACATGTCATTGGTCAATGAATGTTAAGGAATAGAATTGTTCGAATACAGAACCCTGAGCTACTGTATTTGGTATCTTCGGGCTATCTAATAATGTGGAGCAAATCTAGTTAGTAGTCTTCACTCACGGCATTCTTATAGGTACTCGATTAGGCACTCATTAACTCACACGGTCTTCACTTTTAATTATACTATTATATCGTGGTGAACGAGAACTAAGGTGGGGAACACTAATTTATTGATAAATGCAAAACTACAGAGTGCCTTCATAAGATATAAAAACCATACGTTAAGTACATTATTTGCATATCTTCATTCAATTTTCCTTAGAATGCATCATGATTCTTCCAATTCTGTTGTTATTACAACTGCTATCTATTGTCTACCTGGTCTCTCTAATTCAGACTTCTTAGCATTCTACTGACAGGTATTCTGCATCCAACTTTTGCTAAATACTACTTATATCTGTCCGTATCGATAGCACGCACTACACTATGACCGATTATTTCAAATATTTCCGGGAATTTAAAAGATTCGTGTTATTCGAAACGTTTTAAACCTTTGGTAAATATTTTCTTTATGACATGACTGGTCATATTTACCCTGATAAGTCAGATGAATGCTGATCGTTGTGGTCACTTTTGGCTTCAGATGGTTTTAGGTGGGAACAACAAGTTGGTTAGTACCTGTTATCTGTATCCGAGTATCCGGTGGTAATTTCTAAACGCTGAAATACACAAGTGCATAACTCAACAAAATGATTTATTGAGATTAATCAAGTGTCAAACTTCGACACATTTCTTCTGTTTGCTTAGTATGGCTGAAGACTGGCTGTAGTGAAGGCGGTCACAGTATCTGTGTTAAACAAGGCACAGGGTAGAATAAATGCTGATTGAGTGGAACCATAGAATGTTTATGCAATACATACACCTGGTCTTCAGTCATTTATTTATATCCAGTAAAGTCTGTTACAAATCATGCTGATTCCTGATTGCTTTCTGTTGCTCTTCTACAGGACTGAAGTGTTTTTGACCTCCAGGATCTTTTCTCTCCAGCCGTCAACAGTAGCAACTTTCACAAGTCATTCCGCTACACGCGTCAATTTAGTGACCCTGTATCTGACTCAAATTGGACTGTATGCTGATTGTCATCTAAATATACGTGTCGACTATCCTCGATTCTTTTATCGACTTGAATTGCGCTAGTGGATAACGGATTCGCGTAACTTTTGAACAGGTACATTTTATACAACTTTTAATCGGAACAAACAATCGGAGAAACTCAGAGAAGGAAGAGAAACGAATTTGAGAAGGCATGTAAACGAACCCAATTCAGCCGAACGTTACTCGGTATTTATAGTCAGACCAAAAAGAAGCTGCAGACCAATGAATGAGATAAGTAGTTAACACATATACGATCATATAAAAAGTTAGTAAGCCAATACGTGACAAGGTTAAAATGCGGCCTCAGAAAAACGAGTAGATTGGTCTGTTCAGAAACTAGAAGAGCCTGTATATGTAGCAGTGTATTTGTGAGTGATCACCAATGGGTCATGATATATTTTCACAAAACCGGAACGGAAGGTCAAGTGTTACATCTCTAATACAACGACTTGGCAGGCAATTATGGCGATTGTACAAATTGTAAGAACTGATGAAAAATGCGGATAGTAATAAAATCCAATTACACAACAAGTCTACCTTAGCTATCCCCCCACATCGTCGTTCTCCCCCGGACTCGAATAGACCGTGATCATTGGTGAACCAAATTTATTTGATTTCACAGGGGACAAACTCTAATCAGCTCAGATAGTAGTTTTCAATTTAAAACTTTTGGATTAAAAAGGTCGAAAGAGAGACCGGTGCTCAATTTTTCATATCCGCTTCAATCTCCTTCACTGTAATAGATCAATAACTCATTTTGTTAAAAAAGCTTCACCCAATAGGAGGTTCATTTAAAATGGAACACTTATGTGCTCATACACAAATTCGTGCAAACGTATTTGCAACTAAAATCAGCAAAATGTGTGACTCATTACAGGATGCTACAGTAATAGCAAATCCCTGTTAACTTTTAGGAAGAATATCCAGTGTTTACTATATCTTCGTAGAAACTGAAGGGTATTACTTAATGTGCTACTCCTTTAAACTTATTCTAATTTGTTTTTTCCTTTCATTTTCCTAGAGACGTGACATCTTTCATACCTCTGTGAGACCATGAACTCTTTTGCAACCAAAACACTGATATCCGTAGCCTTTTATCAGATAACTCCGAAGAAGTTCGGGACAAAATATTGGTAAGTGTAAGTAAGAGGACCGACGACAGTGTTAAACCCCCACCATATAGACCCCTCGTGATAATCCTAGGGTCGAACTAGAAACCCTTAGACAAAATGGTGAGAAAACTCTCCAATTAATGGGTTTTCGAATGGTCAGGTCTTGGAAGCAGATTCTACCAAGGCCTGTGTAGTTAGGCCGTTCCTCCAACGCTCGTAGTCTAAGAAATAAATTCCATGAACTAGGAGCATGAATATACAAATTAAGTATATTCATTGTAGCTGTGATGGAAAGTTGGTTAGTTCATGACTCCAGAATTAACCGGATACCACTACGTGAGAAGTGATAGACATAGATGTCGGAAAGGAGGTGTCATCCTTTTATTCATAGCTGATGTCATCAATATCCGCTCCCTTGTTTACGAATCCGATGATAGTGGAACGTGTGAAGTCATTAGCTGTGAGCTCATTATCGGATGTTGTCCACTTATACTCGGTGTCATCTATCTAAGCCCGATCTGCTTAGCTGATGACTGTTTTAGAACACATTCCGCTATGGTGTGCAAAAAACAGATGCCTAATACTAGGAGACCTTAGTGCACCTGATATTATTTGGACTAAGATGACCACGGAATGATCTATAAACTCCTTTGATAGCAGGTTTCTGATAACTATAATGGAACATGAATTAGTACAGCATGTATCCAAACCCACACGTTTTGGTGCAAACTAAGGTTCTTCTCTGTTAGAATTAGTGACTATTCATGAAACTGAGGATATTGCCAACTTAAATATTCTTTCACCGTTAGTGAGTAGCGAACGCGCTGTTTTGTCATTCACATTTAGAGCTAGTGACATGATATACGATCAGGTTAAGCCTCTCCCAAAACGTATAGAGAGCTAACATATCAGACATTCAGGAGTGCTTTGCCAAGACATATTGGGCAGTAGATACTAGCTCATCAGTCAAAGAAGCGAGGTCTATATTTAGAGACAAGTTTAATCCAGTTACGTGCTCGTCCATACCGTACATGGTGCCATGTAGACCGAGTAAAAATCCACCATGGATAACTAAACAAGTCAAGAAACCTCTTAGCCGCGGAAAAAAGCACTGGAATATGTTCATTTCTACTGGCTTAGTACAATACAGATCCAGTTATTGTAAGATTAGAAATGCATGTAAAGCGTTAATAAGTAAGACTAGACGGTCATGTGAAAAACAATTGGTTATGAATTGTAAAAATGGTCCAAAACAGTTATTCTCTTATATAAAGAGGCGAACTCACAGAAGTAATGGAATTCCATCACTTTTGCTATAAATTTGGTAATATTGGTAAGAAATGATACCGAAAAAACTGAAGCTCTATCGGAATATTTCAGTAAGGTGTTTTCTATAAGTAATAAGGAACGATCGACGATTGATTGTGATTGTGGAGGCTTGTTGAGGGACCCTGTAGTTATTGAAAGAGGTATAACCTTAAGATTATTTCAGCATCTCAAACCTGATAAGTTCAGTGGTCTTGATGATATTTATTCTAGGGTTATGAAAGCCATATCAGATGTAATTGCTTAACCTTTAGCGATGCTGTTTGATATGTCTCTGGAGCATTCCAGACTGCCCAGAGTCTGGAAAAACTCAACAATTAGTCCGGTTTATAAGGCTGGAAGTAGAGATTTAGTAAGTAACCATCGACTTGTTAGTTCAACCAGTGCAGCTGTAAAACTGATGGAAAAAATTATTCCGATAGCTGTGTGGAAAGGCATAATCTTTTATCCAGGGAACAACATGGTTTTCGAAAAGACCTATCATGTTTGACAAATCTTACTGCAGCAAAAGGTCGGAATATCCCTGTAGATGTGATATTCATAGATTTAAGTAAATCCTTTGATAAGGTCTCCCATTGTGGTCTCAAATTCAACCTGGAAAGTGTTGGGACCCATTATACAGTCATAAACTGGATAAGTAACTTTCTCCATGACAAGAGACAAAAGATAAGGGTAACTGGAGCTCTCTCGTCGTGGGAACCTGTAAAAAGTGAAGTTCCCCAATGCACAACCTCTTCTCTTCTTTTCTACTTTATGTAAATAAATCATCAACTGTAGCAAAATCATCCGTTCTATTCCTTGCCGATGACAAAGAGATTTGGAGAAGCACACACAGCATGTCAGATAGAGTAGTACTACAGGATGATCTTAACTCGTTGGTGGCATAGATGGACAGGTGGTCACTAGAAATAAATACTAACAAGAGTGTGGTGATGTAATTAAATAACTATGATGATTCGTATTACTACACAATATGTTAATTCGTGCTACCCAAAGTAAAAACCGTAAAGATTTAAGAGTCATACTAAGCAGAGGCCTCAAAACCACCAGTCATCTTAAGGCTATTGCTGCAAAAGGCTGTAGGGTGTTATGGTCTATTCGTATGTGTTTCCAGTATTTAGATAACGAAATGTTTAGATTATTATACCCGACTTTCGTGCAACTTCATTTGGAATATGGAATTCGAACAGCGAGTTGATGTTTCAAGTATGGGGTGGATAAACCGGAATGAGTCCGGCGATGTAGGACCAAAATAGTAAAAAGCCTACCTGGCGTATCATATGAAGACAGACTGAGACACCTTAACTTATTTCCGTTATCTTACCGAAGAATACGAAGTGATTTAATATATACTTATCGTATACTCGTTAATAATATGTCTTGGCTTTTCCTTCCTCTAGGATTGGTCATTTGAGAGGACATTAGAAGAAAAATCAAAAACTGTGACCAAATTGTCTACGTCTGGAGTTTCGTAGTGAATTACTGGAATTCTCTACCAGGACACATAATATCATCACCTTTACAGTGTTATAAACTTCAAGGATTAATATAGGTCAATAGACCTCCTATCTTTATTACTAAAGACTGAATCTACAATGACCTCTGCGGGTTCCTCAAATATCTTTGAGGTCGTTCCTTTTTCTTCCCACCCTCTGGTATGGTCAACCAGTTGAGAAGTATGGCCTGCAGACATGTCCAAAACATGGTCCAAAGCGTCTCAAAATGTTCTGGGAACGAGGCACCATACTCACCAATTGTTGATACTGGTTGTGACTCCCCATCTAGCCTTCCTAAAGCCTGTAAAACATCGGGACTATCCGAAAAAAAATCTGAGTCTCACTCCGTAATTGATGCAAAGTGTCTGAACAAAAGCTGTGTTTCATCAAGTGTTCCTCAAGCTTGTGATTTCCACTGCGAAGGAGACCAACAATTAAATGTCAAATGTGCACAGTCAAAAAAGATAGCATCTGAAGGTATTGTGCTTCGTTTTAGTTCTATTGCCCCCAGATTTGGATGACCGTCAATCTCCAAATGATTACCTTTGGCAAAAATTGGAAGCATTGGTTGATCAGATGATCTCAGAAGAGGATGGAATTCCCGTCCGCAATGTTAAAAGTCTAATGTCAATAATTCCCAGCACATTTACCGGTCAGTTTCTGTTTGATGGGTCTTGTTATTTAAATAATGTTTCTGTACTTTGTTTCCCAAGTGTGATAAATAACTGCCTTTAGTTCCCAATTACTATAATCTGTCTTACCATAAATATAGATTCAAAACTTAGTTAGTATACATATTTAATTTTTCTCTGTGGCCAGGGGTGCCGGTGAAATTTCTAATATCATCTAAGTCTTGAAGCAGCTGTCCTGTGTATTTTAATTCAGTGAGATAAGCTCAGTCCTAAGGCAGTTAGTATATTGTTCGTTCTGTACAATTTAAACATCACTGGGTGATATAATCCGTAATTGATGTCATCGGGTGGCAAAGCTAATGCAAAGTTTCTTACAAGCTTTTCATCGTCGTAGATGATCATTACCGAACCATAACATGTTCGAGTTGCCTGTGGGTGTGGGCT